CTGCTCAGCTTCACTGTTATCTTACACTACTGTCCTGTAAGATGCTAGCCGAAATGTATGGCAGTTTCCTCTGCACTGGTGCTTACTGGGTATCTGGGCATGCTGGGCACTTGTCTAGTTACCAGGAGTAAAGCAGGTACCTTGTCTGAGGAGGGGTAACGTGGAGAGCAGTGGAATGCCATCAGAACCCAGTGGCATGGTGTGTGTGCCTGGGGCGAATCTCCAGACTTCAACCCATTACTGACTTAAGCAGAGAGACCCAGTTTAAATTAGGAGTAATGAAACAGGGTCACTCTAGGTACCTTGATCTAAGTCAACAGCAGTGGATGAGGTGAGGAGATACAGGGTGACCAGCCTATGCAAGGTGACCCAGGCTGAGGTGGTGAGAGACAGTATTGACTGGGTTCTTGTTCCCTTAGGAAGGGAAGGTAGGTAGAGTCCAGGCTAACTGGTGGGTGTGAAAGGCAGGGGAAGAAGAAAGACCTCTGAGATACAAAACATGTGAACTTGCTCCCATAACCGAGGGCAGAACTGAACTTGAAAGGGGTCAAGTGTCTTTGCCCAAGGTCATTTGGCTAGAAAGGGAGGTAAGCTAGCACCTTTCTTTGCCTGGGTAGTAATTCGCAACTCATCATTTATTTAGTTAGTTCGCTTTGTTTTTGAGACCGGTTTTTCCTGTAACCCCAGCTGGCCTGGAACTTGCTATGTGGACCAGGCTGGCCTGGACCTCACAGAGAGATCCTTCTGCCTCTGCCTCCTGAGTGCTGGGATTAAAGGCATGTATCACCACGCCTAGCCACAACTTGACCCTTTTGATTAACACATAATCCTGTCTTTGGGGTACTTTGTGACACGTGCTTGTGTACCTCTGTAGTGACAGACTCAAGATAGGCCATCCCTCACTTCCCACATTTGTCCTTTCTTTACTGTACTGGGCTTCTTTACACCAAACACCCTGGCCTCTCCCTCACACACACTGCCTGTCTCTCACCACTGCTCACCCCGTTTAACTGATGGGGAGACTGAGTCAGTGTACCTGGGCGAGTTTGAGCTTCTGTGGTGTTTAGCATGTGTTCATCCATGGTGTTGAAACACCACACCACCCACTTCATTCTTGTAAGCATTTATGGCAGCAGCTCAGAAATCATCTGGTACATTGCATCCCTATCTCTTCACAGAAGGTTCCATTCCGGTGTTTTCCTGTGAAGTCTAGCACTGTTGCCAGTGGATTCTCTCTCTCTCTCTCTCTCTCTCTCTCTCTCTCTCTCTCTCTCTCACACACACACACACACACACACATCTACATATACATACATCATGGATTATAAATGATTGCTACTGGCATTTTTAAAACTGATTTTCCCAGCAATGGCAGATCAGATGGTAGCATTCTTCCTGGACCAGCATCATCCAGTGGTTCTTTGAGGGAAGTGTTTTTAGGGATTTGCTCTGACTATGAGGCCTGGATGCCTTTCTCTTCTTCTTCTTCTTCTTCTTTTTTTTTTTTTTTTTTTTTTTCTGGCTTGGCCACAGCTGAAATGTGATAAGGGAGGAATGCCTGTGGTGTCGGGCAGTGCCAGGCCACTGCTGGCTGATATCCAAAGATTCCTGCAGTTCCAGGTCCCAGCCTGGTTTGTCTATCTTCTGCACACCCACGATCATTAAAACCTTTTAGCTGTTAACCCAGGCAGTTGCCAGGCCTTAATTGCAGGCCACTGCCCCTGGCTCACAAAGAGTCATCTTCAGTGCTGTCTTGGGGCAGTCTAAGACATGCTGACTCACTTCCCCCAAGACTTCTTTCCTCAACATCCCATACACACCCCAGGAAAGTGCAACAGACCAGGTAATAGCTAACCTTGAGTTCTGTACCAGCAACGCTAACCATAGAAGAGGAAGCAGAAGTTAAGTTTTAAAAGGAACTGTCACTGTACTGTATGGGCTCAAGTGTCTTTCTCAGATATAACCCAAGTCTGACTTCCTTAAGACCTCACACCCCCAGCCCTGTGTTTACTCCCTACCACCTGCAAAGGAGAAGGGGAAAGTAGATGGTAGCACCTGTGGTGTGCACGCGTGCACGCACATACACACACATGCATGCATGCATACAGACACATACACGTACATATGCACTAAGGGATGGCCACCCTGCCTACCTGCCTCCCCTTTCTCTGGAGAGCCAGAAAGACATGAGGTCCTGGATAGCACAAGAGCTCCAGAGAGGTTTTCTCCTCATCTTAGCTTTGGGTACAGGCTCAGGAACACCTCACCTCACTCCTGAGGCCACCTCTGAGGCAGCTCACTTTGCGTTTGGCCCTGAGGCCCAGAGCTTGTATGCATACAACCAGGGAAGGAACCTGAGGCAGGCATGGGGTGGGAGAAGGCACTGAGCACTGTGTAGGCAGCCAGCAGTTGTTGTGGTCCACCATGAGCTAAGGCTCGTCAACTCATCCTCGGTTCACTGGCTTCTCAGCATCCAGGGCCTCAGAGGTGGTGGTACACAGCTAGGCACAAATGTGAAGGCTCTGGGCTCACAGGAGGGCTCGGGAAGAGAGGTGACAACAGTGACACGGTAGGGTTCCCAGGCGGCAGGGACACCCCAGCATCAGGGAAAGATGCCAAAACAGGTGGGGCCAAGTCAGATGCTGATGAGAGCCACTGTTTGAACAGAGCTGGGGCTTACGGTGGGGCAACCCATGAGAAGGTGGCCACTGCAGAGGGACCCCCTTCCTGCCACACTGCTTCTTGCTCTAATGTCCCTTTCATGAATATTTGCAGAAACTGCAATGTTCTGAAACCTCATTTAACTGCATCTTCTCTTGCCCTAGCTTGAGCTCCACCTCCACCATCCATAGATTTCTGTTCTAATCACCTTTTCCCAGAGTGGTACCTGTTGCCCTCACTGTGGCAGTTCCATGTCTCCCCAGTCCACCGTCACTGGCTTCCTTTCCTGTTGCTAGAGTCATTCAGCCCTGCCCTTGTTACATTCTGCCAAAATTATCTCTTATAGAGGCTTCACTGTGCATCTGAGATGATAGTTCACACACACTGTTGCCTAATTCTTCATAAACAAAGATGTGCATGAAGCATGGAGATTAGGTAGCTTGGCTCCACTCTTGTGCCTACAGAAGGAGATGGGGCAGGCTGGAATGCAGCCAGCACTCTGTAGCTCTGACACTTCCTGTTCTGCAGGGGACTCTTCAACTATAAACTCAAAACCCTGAAAGAAGCCCAGTAGCATCACACGCCTGTAATCCAGCCATCAGGAGGCTGAAGCAGGAGGATATGAATTCCACACCAGCCTGAGCTACATAGTGGGACCAGTCATAAAAGCAAACCAAACACTGAAAGAGCACCTGTGGCTTTCTGTGGCCCTAGGCCCCTGCCTTAGCCTTCCCATTTCCATCTTTCATGCCATGTCCAGCAGCTCCCCTGGCCACATGGATACCAGTATACATCTGGTGTGTTTATGCTTAATGCATACTGCATATACAAACCCTGTATATACTTTGTCCAACTTAAATATTCTTCCAGTAAAGTCAAATTTATAGATGAGGCACAGGAAGAGATGAACAACAACAATAATAATAAGGAATATATCCTGTAGAAATAAAGCCTAGTATGCCCAAGACCTTGGTCCAGCTGCAGCACTATAAAAACAGACAGGCAATCATAGGAATTATTTATTTCTGAAAATTTCTATTTAACAGTTTTCAGCCATGGTCATGGTTAATGAAAACTCTGGAAAATGACGCTGTGGATTATAGGGTCTTTGATTATGGAATCCGTGTGTGCTTCAAATTCTGCCACCTTTCTCTCTCAGTCAAGGGCCATCTCAATGTCATGACTTAAGGTGGTTACCTCTTCCCTGTGGCCTTTCTCTGGGCCCTTCTCAGTGATGTCCCTTTCTCTTTAAAATCTACCTACCACTTTGTGTGATCCAGTTTCTGACTTGCATCTTGAGCACTGGGCTTCCTTACTTACCCTTGGATCTCTAGCTCACCAGCTGCTGGCCTGGCTCTTTGAGGCCAGATGAACGTAGTTCCACGTTCTCCAGCACCTAGCAGGTTTCCCACTGGAGCAAATGGTGATGGAATTGTCCCTGAGCCTGTTTGGATGGGAGGCCAAGCTAACTGGCCTTAACAATGACAGGCACTCAGCGATGGGAAGAGGGACCCATTGCTCTGGAACACGTGGTCTAACCAAAGTGCTGCCCTGTCCTTGCAGCGCCTTTCACATTTTGGTAGTGGTGCCCCACAGTCCCCAGTTCTGATGCTGAGTTCTGGCCCTTATGGATGGGCAGACAGGTAGGAAGAATGACTCATTCTGACCCCTTGGAGATCTTCTGGCCTTAGTAGTCCTGTTCCCTTGCAGTTGGCAGAGGAATACGGTGAAATTTCATGTTCGTTTCCTCAAACATCAACATATCACTTGAAAACACTATTTTTTTCTTCTTTTTTATTTTTTAACAAGATATCGTTCAGTAGCCTAGGCTGAACTTGAAGACATAGTGGTCCTCCTGCCTGAGCCTCCCGAGTTCTGTGATTATAGGCACGATCCCCACATCTGGCTATTACCTATACTCTTTATATCCACTGTGGAGCAGATTTCCTACTAAATCACAGATAATTCACTTTCTTAACTCATCACTCTTGGATCTGTCTGCAATGTGTGCTGGGACTCTGGACTCTAGCAACTCTTGCACTAACTGTAACCTCTGTAGCGAGACTCTTCCAACACTTTCTTATACTGGATGAGGTAAAATGGTCCTTTTCTTGAGGAGTATTACCAGAGGTTACGTGCTCTTGTTTGTTTTTAGCAATATATTTGTTGCTCTATAATCCTGGCTGGTCTGGAACTCACTATATAGCATAGGTTGCCTTCAAGCTTGCTGTGATCCTCCTGCCTCTGTCTCCTGAATGCTGAGATAACAGGTGCAAGCCACCACTCCTGGCTTATCAGTGTCTTTTAACACATGCTTTTTCTTGCTTTTTTCCCCTCAGTCTCTTCAGATGGTGGCACGGAGTCCTCAGCCTTAGTTGATGATAATGGTAGTGAGGAGGATTTCAGCTATGAAGAGCTCTGCCAGGCCAACCCTCGGTACCTGCAGCCAGGTGGGGAGCAGCTGGCCATTAACGAGGTACTGGAATCCTACATATACCTGATACTTGAATTTCAAGGCCCAGAACCACCTTGGATGTTACTGTCTAATTAATTCTTACTTGGCATATCCTGAAACTTGGAAGTCTGGCTAGTACAATGCTGGTTTTCTGACATCGTCTAGGAAAGTGTCTGTGATTGAGCTTTGCAGATTGCTGAAGCTTGTCCCTGCTAGCAGTAAAATCAGCAGGCCTTGTCTTTGGGCTTCGCAGATTTGGATACACTCCCATTCATTATGTCACGTGATTCTCACAGCTGAACTAAGAGATGACAAGAAAACCTGTCCATATTATAATAAATGCCTTGAGGTGTATCCAGGAACTCTAGGCCTGGTGGTGCGTGCCTGTGATCCCAGCTACTCGGGAAGCTGAGTCAGGAAGAAGGCAAGTTCAAGGTCTGCTTGGACAGCTTAGGATAGACCCTAATACAAAGCCCTGGGTTCCATTCCCAAGATGAGAGAGAGAGAGAGAGAGAGAGAGAGAGAGAGAGAGAGAGAGACATTCCCAAGATGAGAGAGAGAGAGAGAGAGAGAGAGAGAGAGAGAGAGAGAGAGAGAGAGAGAATTTGCTAGCAAATAGCAGAGCTGAGATCAACCACACATCTCATCCCAAGCCAGGAGGTTTCTCTACCACACTGCAGCATTAGCTCTTTTTCATACAAATCTTTCTAGAGGGTTCCTCCAGGTTTTGACAATCTCAAGTGGAACGTGTGGCGCATAACCTCACTAAGGTCACCAGGTACGACTATATAACATCATTTAGACTGAACATCCCTAGGTCAAAAATCTAACAGTGCACTGAAGTCTCAAACCTCTTCAGATGCGATACTCAAGGTTTTGATTTCGTAAAGTCCATGCAAAAGTTCCAAAATCCGAAAATCTGAAATCTGAAACCCTCCTGGTCCCAGTCACATTATATGAGAGATGTTTAGCCTGCATGTCTGTGGGAGCTAAGGTCTGTGCAGTCACCTGTGCTCCTGCCCTATGGGAACAGATGGGCTATGCCTGTTCTTTGAATCTTCACTAGCTGTTAAATGTCCCAAGATCATGAGGCCATTCCATCAGTTAGAGTAAACAGTTGACACAAGGCCTGCTCCAATCAGAAGTGGAGTGGTGCCCTCGGGTGGATATGTGAGGGGCTTCTGGTAAGCACACCATGCATCTAGTTCGGTGGCCCAGAAGTCCTTTGTGGAGCAAAGATTCTAGATACGAAGTTGGCTAGGCAACTAGTCTACAGCTACAGTCTCCAGCTTAAAACGATTCACCTTATGTTTTTCTGGATTTACCGCAGTGTGAGAAAGCCTGTGTTCAGGAGAAGTGATACTTCAGATTTGGAGTTTGGACCTTTTCTTCCACCAGCAATATAAAGAATCATTCTACTCTTTCTTTCTCTTTCAATACAGTGTTCAGTAAATTACATGATATTCCAAATTTTATTATGTGATACACTTAAATGATTTCCCAGCTGTAGGCTCATGGGAGTATTCTCAGCACAGTTATAATAGGCTAGGTAAGAGCTTATGTTGACTTGGGTGTAGCAAATGCATGCTCAGTTTATAATTAAAATTTTTTAAAAAATTTATGAGTGTTTTACCTGCATGTATGTAGATGCACCACATGCATGCAATGCCATAGAGGCCAGAAGAGAGCATCAGATTCCCTTGGAGCTGTAGTTATGGACGGTTGTTAGCTGCCATGTGGGTGCTGGGAACTGAACCTGGATCCTCTGCATGAGCAGCCAGTACTATTAACTGCTGAGCCATCTCTCCAGCCCTGGTTTATGATATTTTTGACTTAGGTGATTTATCACACGTAACCCCATTGTGAATAAAGGTGTTCTGTGTATCTTTGGATTTTTGAGATGGTCTTGCTGTGGGGTCCAGACTTGCCTCAAATTTGTGATTCTCCTGTCTCAGCTCCTGCAGGCTAGGATTGCAAATATAACCAAATGTAACCACACCTGGCACATATGTATGTCTAAGTTGGTCTGAGTTTCCCTATAAGAGTAAATCATACACATACTTGGTACTGTTTTTCTCGAAACAGAAGAAGGTATCAGATCGCCCCAAGGAAGCACATCTAGCGAGTGGCTTCCTTCCATCTACCCACCTTATTGAGTGCTAAGCATGCCCTCCTGTCTCCATTCCAGCTGATCAGCGATGGCAGTGTGGTCTATGCAGAAGCACTGTGGGACCATGTGACCATGGATGACCAGGAACTGGGCTTCAAGGCTGGAGATGTCATTCAGGTTCTGGAAGCATCTAACAAGGACTGGTGGTGGGGCCGGAATGAAGATAAGGAGGCCTGGTTCCCTGCAAGCTTTGTTAGGGTAAGTGTGGCCCTCTGTGCTTTCCAGGGTATCCATGGGCAGGAGGTTCCAGAAGAGTTTCAGGCATAGCCCAGTCTTTACGCAGGTCCAGTTCTTCTGTCCTTGTGTTTAATCTCCCACACAAGCCAGACCTGTAAGAAATTAGGCTGGTTGGAATCAAATTCTTAGTGGAAGCAGTTTGCTTGGCATTGCTGCTGTCCATGGAAACCAAGGGTAGGGTCAGGCGCCACCATGACCATAACTAGGCACAGGGAAGTCTTTGGCCTTGCCTCTGGTACCACCTCCCATCCCCTAAGTCACCTGACCCTGTGTGTGGCCTGTAGCTTCGGGTCAATCAGGAGGAGCTGCTGGAGAACACCAGCCATCCTCATGGGGAGGAACAGGAGGAAGAAGCCAGCAAGGCCCGCCACAAGCACCCCGAGAGCCAGCAGCAGATGCGTACCAACGTCATCCAGGAGATCATGAACACCGAGCGTGTCTACATCAAGCACCTCAAGGACATCTGTGAGGTAAGTGCCAGCAGAGTTTGTCATATTCTCCAGCCCTACAGCATCTCATCAGACTCCTAGGCAAGGTGCTGAGTCATTTCAGCACAGATGAAAAAGAAGTCTTACCAGGTGATGGTGATAACCAAGGCTGTATTCCACTGCAAGGCTGTAAGATCAACTTTATTTTTAGTATTTCCTTTTTAGGGAGACAGGGTGTCACTGTGTAGGATTACAGACATGGCCATCATGCCCAGCTTTTGTTCAGCAGTCTTGGCCTGATTTAGAGAATCCATCATTAGTAGATGAGAGGCTGGAAGGCTGCTTCTTCCCAAGCTGGTTTTCATTTTTGTGGATCTTGTTTGAGCATCACGGTACCTGAACAGCTGAGCTGTATGGCTGTGAATGCTGATGTCAGCACTGGAAACAAGCTCAAGTCAGGACTGCCCTGTTTTGTGCCTCAGCGGTCAGGCCTACGGTGCCTCGTTCCTTGTGCCGACTTCATCTGCAGTGTGCGGTGAAGTGCCTTTAGAGTGGCCTTCAGGAACATCGGAGTATCTGTTGAGTGTTGCCGAGCCCTGACCTTGTGCTGCTGCATTGCCTGGCTTTGTTCAGCCCCTCACAGCATTCTCACTGGGTTGTACATCCTCTTAGCTGCCTGCTGCACACAAGGAAGAAACTGAGGCCCTGGAGTAAAATGGCAGGGTTGGGATTTAAACCCAGACAGTGTTCTCCAAAGACTGTAAATTATCACAGCATGTTTTTCTCCTGTTAGAATTTGTACATACAGTGATTTAGGGGCTGGGGTGAAGTGATTACTGTACAAGCATAAGGACCTGAGTTCGGATCCCCAGCGCCCATGTAAAAAGCTTGACCTGCCGTATCTGTAACCCCAGCACTAGGAGGCAGACACAGGAGATCCGAGGGCCTCTCTGGCCAACAAGTCTAGCAGAAATGGTGAACTCCAGGTTTAGTGAGAAGCCCTGTCTCCAAAAAATAAAGTGAGGAAGACAACCTGATATCAACCTCTGGCCTCCACATGTCTCCACATGGACCTGCATGGGCAAGTGCGTTTGCACACATTTATGTGCACATGTGTGTATACACATGCACACACCACACATGAAGAAGACAGTGGTTTATATTTTACTAAATGGTCTGTTTAGTCTGTTTAAGTATATGATGCTACTAATACATATGAATGACATTTTCTTTCTTGTGCCTCTAACTCCCAAGCCACAGCATGGCCTTGATAATGTGCATGAAGTACTTAGCCCACTTAGCAAGTGCAGGCCTTGGGTTAAAGATGTACAGACTCGTACTGTAAATGAAAGCAGGTGACAATGGATGTTTTTGGCTCTTGGCCATGATTTATAGAACACAACCACATTCATCATTCTGCAAGCAATGACATTCTATGTTTGACAACTCTTCATGACTATGAGATGGAATTAGGAATGGGGAAATTAGTTTCTTTTTTAAGCATCTATTCATTTGTATGTACATGGTGCATATGGACCATGTGTATAGAAGTCAGAGAACAAATGAGGGGAGTTGATTTTTTTCTCTCAACCACGTGGTATCCAGGGATGGAACTTAGGTCACCAGACTTGACATGGAGTGCCTTCACCTGTTGAGCCATCTCCCTGGCCTGGAAAATCATTATCTTAGTATCTAGAAAGTACAATATGAAGCCAGATGTGGCATACCCTTGCAATCCCAACACTGGGTAGATGAAAACAGGTGGGCCTAGTTCACCAGCCAGCTTGCTCACTTAGCAGGTGAGGCCAGTGAGGGACCCTGTCAGTGAGGGAACCCCCCAAAAAAAGGTAGATGATGCCTGAGGAACCACACCTGAAGTTGTCCTCTGAACTGCATATGTACACGCACCCCCCCACACACACACACACTGTGGTAATGTGAATTTTTTTAAATTATTTATTTAATAACCATATAATTAGAAAAAGCATTTCATTACAATAGCATTGATATATTCAATAACAATTTCTAGAGCTAAGATGCATCGCTTTCAAAATTGGCTATAAATTTTTAGGTATAGTTGAATTAATACAGTCATACAATATTGTACTGTCTAAATCCTATAAGACATAAAATTAAGTGAGGTTTTAATCTTTAAAAAAGATCTCCATTCGTTGTCAAAACACACAGTTTCATACAGAAAAATTCATTCTAAGGCTATTGACATTGAGACGTTTTCACATGCATTTCTAATCTCTATATACATGACTATCACACGGTCACAGTCGCCCACTTTCTGAACTCCTTGGCATCTGAGCATTAATACAAACTCGTCAGGTAGACCACCTTCCTCTCCCACCAGAGCCTCCACACTCTGCTATCCCTGTCACTGTCCACTGTGCTGTCAGCACCCCATCCATTCCCCCCTATCTGCCCTTCTGGTAAATCTAGTCAGCCAGAGGTCCCTGTTCCAGGAGGATCAGCTGTTCCTCATCTAC